AGGGGAGAGGGAGGACAAGGATCAGGGTGTGGCCTTCTTTGATAGTCTTTTCAATTTTGTGCTTTAAAAATTAATACAAGATTTCTATAAGTAATAGATATATCATGTCTACTCGGGCTGTATCTGATTTACAGGCACCTCCCACTTGGGCGCTACATGCCCTCATGATCATGTCACAAAACAAGAATGCCATTATACCTGATGATTGTACTGATGACTTATTACTCTCATCAACTTCTCTACCTTGATATGAGATATCTTTAGATTATCAATAATTATAATTAATAATAATATTAGTATTATACCTAATGTGTCTTTTGCACTCTTCAATTTAGCATTCTCTTCAAGTAAATCATCTCTTTCACTCTCTACCATCTCCAGTTTCTTCATTAGACTCTTCACCTCCTATCAAATATTAAAGTATACTATTAATTTTATATACATATACATACATTCACTAACCTCATCAATTGCATGTTCATCATACACATTATAGTAACCAATAGTTAAACTAATCAATCCCATCTCCTTTAGCATATCAACGTTATCTTTAGCTGTCACTAGTAAACTCTCCATCAGATAATGAGGAGCATAACAAGTAACAATGATGGAGTTCCCTTCCTTGATCACTACCACCTCCACTTGATTATCCTTGAACGCTTTCCATAGGAGGGCTTTGATATTGGAGAAAGAATGCTCACTTGGATTCCATTCCAGAACAAACTTGATTGTCTCACAAGTGAGGAGAGAAGAGGATAATCTCTTAAGCTGACGATCACAAAACATTGTTAATTTTTTCTCACAGAATTCATCCAAGTGTGTCTGATAAGCTAATATCATGTCTCCAGCATCTTGTATTGAGTAATTATTCACTACAGCCTCCAAAACTGAAACATTGAGAATGGAACACTCTTTTTCAATCACTCGAATGACAGCATCAAATGTTTCTGCTTGGTCCAATTGATTTTCTAAACGAGAGCGACATCGTCTGACATATGTCTTTAAATCATCGAGAAAAGGTATGGCTGCTTTAATGAGAGGAACAATATTGTGAATAAGTGTACCAAGCATATCATTCATTCTATCAAACTCAGCTTCATAGTCAGGATGAACCATGACCTCTACTACTCCTATAATATACATGTAGTGTAATGACATTGAATTAATGTCACTAACCTTGTGCAGTAGCATCAGTATTGGTAATTACTTCAGTCTCACTGCTGCTACTTTGTAATTGTTGAGATCCTGTATAGTGAATGTATATATGTTATATTATATCATTACTTAAGAGGTTGACATACTTGCATGTTGACAAGATGGCATCACTGTTACTGCTGAAGGAAATGACTTTTCTGTTGCATTAGAATATAAATAAGTTAAGTATACTTATAAAACTGTTCATTTACCATATTCCATTATTATATCACTAGCTAAAGACACTACTTCCTTTGATTTCATTAGAATGCTTGCCAGAATACATAACTTGCTATGATCTTCAGCTACAGCACTTAATATTAGTAACATTGGATGTCCTACCAATGAATAACCGCAACTCTTCACTTCTGTTAATGTATCCTTAGATATCAATCCCTCTGTATGTAAGAGATCAACTGATTCCTCAGTAAGAACAACTTGAGCTAGTCTACCAATATAACACTGCAATATCTCACTAACAGGATCTGCCACTAATAAAAATATAAAAAATAGATCTAATGATAATAATATTATTACTTGTTTTACGAATATTATTAGAGGCAAATAATGCATTCATTCCACGGAGTGCATTAGCCAGTGTCTGCCATACAAGAGTATGATCAGAGCCTTCAGTCAACCACTTGGCTAAACACTCCCTCAGGCAATTTGAAAGATCTCCTTTATTAGCTGACTCAATAGCTTTCAGTGTGTGATAAGGTATATCTAAATTCAGTCCAAAGTCAAACCATCTTGCATCAGGAAACTTGTAATGCCTCAAGACTTGTAAAACAAACTTCAACTTGCTAATATCTGTACACAAAATATGTATATCAGTGTATTATAAATAATTTGACTCACCTAATGGGAAATGTGATGGTTTTGAAGTCATTTGAAACTAGTTTAAGCATAGGATTAAGCTTGATTTAAGCTTTATATAAGTCTACCCCACACATAGAATGCCGTGGGTGTAGATTACGGGGGTGTGCCATAACCAGGGGCGTAGCCAGGGGGCGGGGGCATAAATGATAAAATGAAATAATAAGAAGCTGCTTTTGGAAGGAAAAGCTGTTTTACAACTTACATATGGAAGGAAAAGGCCAAAGCAGTCTTTCTATGATGCCATTATAAAGCTGAACAGGTATTCAACGTTGCTTATTATCGGTCAAGAAGTCCGCCATGTTGAAAAATAGGTGTTTTCACGCCCGAAAAGGGCGTGTTTAGCAAAATTTCGCGGCTCGCTTCGCGCAGCTTACCCCCTTTTCCAAAAATTCTAGCTACACCACTGATAACACTAGCAGTTTTATGGGCTAGCTCGCTCTAGCCACAGATATAGTGTAAAGAGTATGGTAGAGTATTACCGTATAGGGGTTGCCAATTGTTGGTATAATTTTTGGCGAATCCTGCCTTCTGCAGCCATATTTTTCCTAGTGTGCCACACCTCTTTTGTGGAATTTAATTTCGCGAATTTAGAAAAATTTCCAGTGAAATATAGTATTTATATACTACAGTATAAAATATGAGAAGACATACAATTTTTTGTAAACTATTGTAATAATAATAATAAATGCTACAGAACATTTGACTAAGTAGACGAAGTACATGTACATCTTAGTAAAAACCAATACCACCAGCTACTGATTTATATAATAATGTACAGTATTTACTTTTCCTTGCAAAATAACAATAATAATATTTTTAATACAATTACACACAGTCTCTATATTTTTGTTAAGTAACTTTTGATGTGCCGCAGTATAATAGTACTGCTACTTAAGCCACAATATCTGTGGCATGGGCATATACTCTAATATCTATGGCTAGAGTTGTCACATAGACTCATTGTGATAAAAGTGTAAACTAGAAAGAATGTGTAACATTGAGGGGTCCGCCCCTTGTGAAAAATCTAAGCAAGATCTTGCATTGATTTTTAATAAGATCTTACTGGATTCTTACATTGTATTTTTCAAGATCTTAAGTGAATTTGGAACATGGATAATGTAATATCTTGTAAGATCATGTTGGATAGAATCTCACATGAACGAACAAGATCTTGCTAGAATCTGTGATAAGATTTTTCAAGAATCTTACATTGTATCTTTCAAGATCTTAAGTGAATTTGGAACATGGATAATGTAATATCTTGTAAGATCATGTTGGATAGAATCTCACATGAACTAACAAGATCTTGCTAGAATCTGTGATAGGATTTTTCAAGAATCTTACATTGTATCTTTCAAGATCTTAAGTGAATTTGGAACATGGATAATGTAATATCTTGTAAGATCATGTTGGATAGAATCTCACATGAACTAACAAGATCTGGCTAGAATCTATGATAAGATTTTTCAAGATTCTTACATTGTATCTTTCAAGATCTTAAGTGTATTTGGAACACAGATAATGCATTATTTTGTAAGATTTTGTATTACTTAATCTCACAAGACAATGCAAGATCAACTGTGACACTGCAAAAAAGATTGTACATTATCATAAATGGTCAAAGAATCTAATAATAATTATCTTAATTTAATTAATGTTTATAACTATGTCCTCCTTGGCATCTCTGCACTTTTGGTTGAGTGTGTGTTGTACACTTGAATAATCATAATTATTATATCTGGACTTTAAACAACCTAATAATTTATTGATGATACATGTGCAACGTTTCAAAACTTACTAAATAATATCTTCACTCGTTCTGGATCCAACGGCAGACGATTACTTATCTTGCTCTGAAACAGTATTCCAGTCATTTGCTCCTTTTTTGTAAATAGTTTGTCCAGCAATAATCGTGCATACGAATTGGCATCTTTAGACTGTATATCTAAAAGATTACATCCTTCCCACTATTGCAAAAATAAAGCATCAATTTTTTCTTAAAAGCATTGTACCATAACAGTTGAAACATCAACTTTATCTTCACTCTTGGCCTGTAGGATGTCATGAATTTTCTTTTCCATATTGACCAATTTCGTATTCATTGTATCCATTTTTTGATCTAAGCGTACAAGTAATTCCTATGATGAAAAAATTAAAAATTAGTAGAATTCATTGCAATGTACTGTAGCGTGTGAGTTCCACGTTTGTTCTACTGCTGTAATTTGGCTTCTTTTAGAATGATCTTTCATCAAACCATCTGCTTCATCTAGTATTTGCTGAGTATCTATTTGCTGTAAAAAGGATTTTAAAGTTTGATTATAAAATTTTAACTTGCTTCATTATTTTTGCTCCTTTTAAAACCAACACTTTCCTGTTCTGATGTTTTTTTCTTTGAACTCACTGCTACAACATGAATACATGATACTTGCATGAATGACTAGTTGATAGATACCTTTGGTACTACTTTTTTGCCTAGTAATACTTGTATTTGCCTCATGACTAAAAAGGTCTTGTGATTCCACTGTAGCCTATAAATATTTGTGAAAATAATCATAGAGTATGGATTTATGTACTCAAAAAACAGTGTTAAATTGCTAATTACATGTGTGAAAGTGATTTTAACCTTGTTGATTGATTTTTGTGATTTTGCTGGTCTTCCTTTAGTTTGTCTACTGACCTCTGGGGCATCTAAAACAATAATAATGCATTGGAATTTTAATTATTAAGGCTAGTTGCCATGTTGTTGCGGCTTTTGTATGTATTTTGATATCCCATTATTCAATAATTATTTTTGGGGTATTAACATTTCGCCCAATTAAAGCCTACCCACCATTAGTCCTAAGGCTGTTGTAGGGTAATATGGGAACTAGGCTTTAGTGACAGATAAAATACATCGAACTATTGTAGGTTCAATAACTTCTTTTAAATTATTTAGTACAAAATTCATGCTAATCATTTAGCTACTAAATGCCATGCACCGTCATTCATACCTTTCACGATTTTAACATCATATGTCTTCCCATCTTTCGATTCGTAGATGACTTCATTACCATCAAACAGATCCTTCCAATTTAAATCTTCTCCATTCTCTTTTGAAAGCTCATCTATGGACACTTTAAAACATTTACCCGTCTGGTTGCATGACACTTTTATATTCTCTAATGAAAGATTTTAAACAGTATTTATGATGTAAAAATGCTGATAATCACTTACCTTTAGTTGCTTTCTTCTGATTAGTAACTACACTACTCTTGAGATGCAGCGGAGTTTGTCGTTGTCTAGTTATTTTTCTTTTTTTGTTGGCAGGAGATGATTTTACATAGTGACTTGAAGTTGCAGATGAAAGTATAGATCTACTCTCTTCTAAATCTGAATACTCCTCTTCATTCAGTTGAGTTTCATCACTATCAAACTCATAATCATCATCGAATTGCGAGGCCATAGCTAGAAGACGTTGTCTTGCATGCAGTGTATTGCGCATGCGCATGCTAATTAGAAAAAATCTAAAAAATTAGATTTTTTCTAATTAAAAAAAAATAATTAATTAACTGACTACACAAAAGCCAGACCACACCTACTCTATGAGTAGACCATACCCCCAATACACTTAAAATGGCGGAGAATATTGAGAATACCTCTACCTCTTCTACTTCATCGAAAGGTACTAGAGGACCATACAGGACATATATTTATGATTCCACAAGACCTATACCAAGAACTAGTAGTTGGAGGAATAGAAAAAGAATGTAAGTTTATATGAGCTCGAAATGAATGAAATTTATTTATGTAAATAATCATCATCATTCATAGGGCTATGGATGCAGAATGCAGTAATGGTGATGGTGCTCTTAATGTGTCTCCTATAGAAATAGATGGCAGTTGTCACGCAGAGAGTATACATCCATCGGTTGTGGGAAATGAAGATATGGATGAGAATCAGTACGAAACAACCCAGTTTGACCTTTTCAATACTAGTTCTGACGAGATGGAAGAGAGTAATATAAGTGATGACAGTAATATAAGTGATGACAGTAATATAAGTGATAACGACGATCCCAGTTTAGAAGATTTATTTAATGACTATTGCAGCAGTAGTGAGTATGATGATGATCTTGAATTGAGTGATGATATGTTTCTTCCATTGTACCCCGGTGCTGATATAACTGTTTGTGGGGCATACTTTGCCATTATGCAGTTGAAGAGTTCATGTCGATTGCCTTTTACTACAATTAGGGAGATTTTGTCATTGCTACAATTATTTTGCCCAAAAAACAACAAACTTCCATCAACTGTTTATCATCTTCGAAAATTTTTTTCAAAATTTGAGTCACAGAAGCGCAAGACAACATTTTGTTCCAGTTGTGGTGATCCAATTATTGACAAATGTCAAAAATTGGAATGTAGGGATAGCAGAGATGTTGATGTTCTAATTCGACTTGACACTACTTTGCAGCTAAAAACTATACTTTCTCGTAAGCTTAATCATACCTTATTAATGTGATAACTGTCATAATTTTTAGGGCATTGGAATGACTTAAATTGTTTTACTGAATCTCCTACTTTATCCACATTTACGATGTTAACTCAGGATCAGGATTTTTTTAGCAGTCGGGAACATATTGGACTCATAATGAACACCGATGGAATGAGTCTTTATAAGTCTTCTAAGGTTACCTTATGGCCCGTTTATCTTGAGATAGCCAATCTGTGTCCAAAGATACGATTTCGTCAGGATAACATTGTAATTTGTGCAGTCTGGGTTGGTAGATCTCAGCCTAACATGCAAATACTATTGACACCTATTTTGGAAGAGTTGAAGCATATGAACATAGTTGGTTTTTCATTTAATGCTGGGCCTGATGGCATAAAGACAGTTAGAGTAAAACTTCTGTTTGGCATTGTTGATCTTATTGCAAAAGCAAAAATTTTAAACATGAAACAGTTCAATGGTCATTCTGGTTGTCCCACCTGTATTCATCCCGGCAAGCACGAAAGATCGAGCAGGTTATATTTACCAGGAACATCCTATTTGCTGCGTACACCTAATAGAATAGAGCGTGCCATAAGGAAAGGAAACAAGTATGGCATCATTGTTGAGGGTTTGAAAGGTATTTCTTCGTTGCATGGTCATTTAGATTTTTTGTCAGGAATGCCAATTGATTACATGCATTGTGTGCTTGAAGGAGTTGTCAAGTCTCTTTTGAAGGCTTGGACTGATTCTAAGTATTCCACTAAGGCATTCTCTATTAGGCGACATTTATCCGTAATAGATAGTAATTTATTGAGGCTGACTCCTCCTCATGAATTTACACGTTCTCCACGATCTATCAGCACTGACTTGTCCTACTGGAAAGCAAATGAGTTGAGGGTGTGGCTTTTATTCTACTCTGCACCACTTTTAGTAAAAGTATTGCCTCCTTTATACTTCCATCACTATTTACTTTTGGTATGTGCAATGCACATATTCCTCTCAGAAGAGATTGGTGATGCTGATTGTGATTTAGCAGAAGAAATGTTGATGAATTTTTATAACTTCCTTCCTGAACTCTATGGAAACAAAAGTTGCACCATAAATGCACATTTGTTGAGTCATATCCCGTACTTTGTGCGCCTGTGGGGTCCTTGTTGGACACACTCTACATTTTCATTTGAGAGTCACAACGGTGCCTTAAAACGAATGGTCCATTCGACAAGAAGAGTTGCCGAACAACTTTCATTTTCTATAGATGTTAAAATGACTTTGCAAAAATTATACTATGAATTGGAAAATCGGGAAAGTGACTCGTTGCTTAAGTATCTTCAGTTCTCCAGGCATTCTTTACGTTCTATGAAAAAGGTGTCACAAGGCTATGCTATTGGTACTGTCAATTCTGACCATTTGAGTCCCAGTGAACTTCAAGAAGCACAAAAATTGTCTTCAGCTATCACTGGAGAAGTTAATACATTTTATCGCCTTTACATTAATGACAAAATGTTTCATTCAATTTCGTATCGTGATGGTGAAGGTAGACGTAGTAGTTGCCATTGTTCTTACATTAACAGCAATGGAGTTGAAGGATATGGAGAAATACAGAAGTTTATAGATTGTTCATTTGGCACCATAGCATTTATTAAACCCTTTCGTAGTACAGGTTCGAACATACTAAAAACATCAGGGACACCATGTAGACCAGTTCTTGACCAGTATATGGAATCTTCCCTTATTTCGCGTTTCATTCTTGAAGCACACCCACTCAGCAATACAGACCCTGTTTTAGCTGTTGCAGCAAAAAAAATAGTTTCTAACTGCTGTGTAGTTCAACTTTCATGTGTTCCAATTCTGTATGTCATTAAACTGCCTAATCATTTTGAACACCATTAAAACAATTGGAGTTATAGAGTTTCCTTTGTTATATCTTCTGCATGTGTGTGTGTGTATTGCTTATGTCTGTTAAAAATAATATTTCAGCTTTCAAATATATAACATAAGCCGTATGCATTATCAAACAAGATCTTGTATACTGTTAAGATCAAGTGTGATTATTTGAGATGTAAGATCTTACAAGATCATGGTCTATCAAAACTGATAATTTTTTGTAAGATAATTCAAGAATATTTGAGGTAATATTTTGCGTTATCAAACAAGATCTTGTACTGTTGAGATCAAGTGTGGTTATTCAAGATGTAAGATCTTATAAGATCATGGTCTATCAAAACAAATAATTTTTTGGTAAGATAATTCAAGAATGTTTGAGGTAATATTGTGCATTATCAAACAAGATCTTGTACTGTTAAGATAAAGTGTGGTTATTCAAGATGTAAGATCTTATAAGATCATGGTCTATCAAAACAAATAATTTTTTGGTAAGATAATTCAAGAATGTTTGAGGTAATATTGTGCATTATCAAACAAGATCTTGTACTGTTAAGATAAAGTGTGGTTATTCAAGATGTAAGATCTTACAAGATCATGGTCTATCAAAACAAATAAAATAATTTAGGTAATATTGTGCATTATCAAACAAGATCTTGTACTGTTAAGATAAAGTGTGATTATTCAAGATGTTGGATCTTACAAGATCTTGTTCTATCAAATGTTGCTAATGCTGATCTAAGATTATGCTGGAAAATTTTCTTGCCATATCATATGTTTTCTTACTTAGACTAGCAAGATCATGCATGATCTTTGATGTTGATTTTCACAAGGCGCCTCTTGTTAAGTATATAAAATCATAATTTATGATAATTATACTAGTGTTGCTTAAGGCCTGCTACGTTTTAAAACGGTAAAACGGATATTATTTTTAGTCGGATAAGGGTCTTGTTTACACTAAAACACAAGAAAATACATATCAAATCTGAACAAAAGAAAAACGAATACCAAAACAGATAATTGTATAAACAAATGATAAATTCTAATTATACAAGTAAATAAAAAACATTAAAAATGGAAAAGTAGTAGGATTAAATTGTAAAAAAGTAAAGAAACAAGAGGGGACTTGCAAACTGGTGTGATATAAAAATCCTACACCACTGCATAAAAAATATACCCAAAACCA